GGTGAAATCAGATGAAATCCGGCCAATGGGAATGCTGCTGGCATACCGTCCAGCGTTCTTCTTACCCGCAATAAATCCTTCAAAAGCTCAAGTTCAGCTATGCACGATTCCCCCTTCTGATCTAAAGGTGTAATCGACCCTAGTCCTTCAAATGAAAAACATACAGCAAATGAAGCATGTGTGAGCGTGTGGGCTTTGACTGATGTCTCAAGGGAGCACGCGCAAAGAAGAACCCTGAACTTCCCAGACCGACCAAACCTCAGCAAAGTCCCTCCTCTCCCTCAATCGGACTGAATAGCTTTCAAACATAGACAGCGAGCACAAGATGACACTCATAGGGCCTACATGCCGAGTGGGTGATCTACATCAAGAACGTTGTTCCTACAGGCCACCTCTGCTAAGCCTAGTGGTGCAAGCAAAAGAAGGGGGTCAAGCGTGGAGCGGCAATATTCCCCTCTGTACGACTATCAAGTGCGATAAGGCCCGGTCCATTCAGCAAAAACCGAGACGCGTGGAATCCAGCAGCTATGGCTTCTAAAAACAAAGACTAACGACCTTTCAAATTTCACAAAGAAAGGCCGTCGAGTCCTAAAGACCTTTCTTTTGAAGGTCGCCCAACCCCAGGTCCGTTGGGCTTCCCCCTTCAAGACTGGGATAGGTATCCCTCCCATGGAAGGTAGTGACTATAGTTCGGGGAGCTGACCGGAACCTCCGGCCTCCAGGTGTTGCAGCTCCACCGGCCGCGCCGCTTCCTTCGCCGGCGCCGGCTTCGGCTGCCCGCGTCGAGCCACCCGCCACAAATGGCGCTCGCTGCGCCGGCCAAGGCCTGGGGTGTGGGGGTGTGGGGGGGTGGGGGGGTGGGGGGGTGGGGGGGTGGGGGTTGTTTGCGGTGAGGAAAAGTCTCTCTCCTTTGGCTTAAGGCACAGGAACTGCGGAACTGGGCCACTGGATGGCACTGGATGCCACTGGAGATCTTGCAAAGTTCTTATCCAAGGCACCTGCTTCCAGTACCCGACTCAGGACGTGCTCTGACACAGGTCCCACAGCTCGAATGCGCTCCTGAAGCATCGGCGACAAACTCATGAGGACATGGCACTGTCGTGCCTCAAACCGCGCCGTGCCTCAAAAAGAACCACGCCCTCTATCAATTCTACTGCCAAAGTTTTCGATTTCAAGGTTCGATCACTCGCGCCCACCCACTCGATCCTTCGCCTCCTCAAAGACTGGGAGTTGAATATCTGAGGGCAGTGGCCCAAAGAGGTTGCACAGCGAGCCCAATGCCTCGCAGGCTGCGCTGGACAGAATGAGTAAGACGACATGGATTTGAAACCAAGATTGGGCTGCCCAATTCACCGTCCACGTTGAACAAGTTCTCAAAGTCAAATAAGGCTCTGTGTCTGTATTTTCCGCGTAAAGGACAACATGTAATAAAGCCTCCCTGATGGTTGGTTTCCTTTCTGTCCCTTGAGAACCATCCCAAGAAGAGCGCTGCTACTATCTATCCCACACCTCAAATCAGAGAAGGACTGGGTGTCTCCCAAAATGGGAGATTGACTTCTCACAAATCCCCAAGAAAAGGAGGAGGCACCCCCCCCACCCCCTCCCCCGTTTTTGTCTGTTTTGTTGCTTGAAGGGAAACTCTATGCCACTATGTGTACCCTTGGAAGGAGCCCTTGTCCGATTCTGAAAAGAGACTCTGAGCCTGGGAAGGTCGCTGTTCCTTGGTTTCGTGATGTTTCACATGTGCAAAAGGGGGAAACACCTTCACCTCAATTGACCCCCATCTTTTTCCGTTGGTTTCCCTGCTGAACAACCTTTAAGAAGCGTTCCCCTCGATGAACGGCATGAACGATTTCAGTTGAGAATTCAATGGACTCCGCCAACTGCCAACCCACTGGAATGGTTCTCAGAGCCCTTCGATCAGAACCCTCAGAATGTTCCAACACCTTTCTTGCGGGGTGGCTTTGGGGGAAACCAAATCTTCATTCTTGGTGTTGTCAGTGCCCTAGGATCCCCCTTGTGGGTTTGTCTCATTTGACCGAATGAGCTTCGGTTTTCCTGCTTCCCTTGAAAGCAACCCCAAAGGGCACCCTCAAAAAACCAACTCCCTTAGCGCATGGTGTTTCACAACTGCCAGGGCCGACGAAACCTCAGGACTCTCCTCCCCCCTCATTCCATCCCCCACCCAAGATGGGGCCAACCAAATGTTTAAACATATTTGTTTACCGCTAGTGTTTAAACACTCTCCTTTTGGTTGTCCTTGAGGACCCGGGATGTGGCTGCTTTTTCACATGGCTATGATCTTTAGGGGTTGAAACCACCTGGCACCTCACAACTGGTTGCTGGACACGAATCCCCAAATGATGTCCACCACAAGGCTCACCTCCCAACAATTCACACCCACATCTATTGAATCTCTGTCTTCTTTTGGAGGGTTCCCCCCTTTGCTTTCCTTTAAGGAATCCACACGGAAACCACCAGACTAGTTTTGCTTTCCCATTTTTTGCTTGCATATTTTTTTTGAAGGACGCCACACGGAAACCACACAACTCTTGGCGTACAACCCCCAGACATTTTACCCGCCACCGCTGTCCGCACCTCCAGCTGCGCTAAGCGCTCCTCCAGGAGCCAGCAGTCCGTGGTGTCCAGCAGCTGCAGCGCGCGGCTTACCGCCAAGCGCCGCACCGCGCCCAGCGACCGCGCGCCCAGCGCCCGCCCTAAGCGAGAGATGGCTGGCTCAAAACCCAAATCGGTTAGCCCCCAGTGAACGGGACCCAATCCAACCACTAAAATAGGTTCTCAAATGGGTGGGGAATTCACCTACCAACCAAAATGGTACCATTGGTGTTGACCCACGGCCAGATGTGAGCAGTGGGGGGTGGATCAATTTGTCCATTTCGGGCCCTAAACGCACAAAACTATGGGAGCAGACTTGATGGAAACCGTTTTTGTTGGGGTGGAGTGTGGGGGGGGGTGATCGATATTCCATTTCGGGCGGCCAATTTTGACCGTGGGTGATTGGTATGATTTGTTACCGGCTTGGGACATATCATCTTAGTGGGTTTTCCAACCAAAGGTTGTCCCACGTAAAGGACATGTGGATCAACCCCCATTTCAGCGATTTGAGCCTCACGGGTTGAAAGTCATGCCTGAAACATGGGTGGGTGTTCTTTGCGAGGGCCCCTTTTTTTTCCGGTCTTGAACAGAAGCGAAACCGAATCCACCACGCCCTCTGACATGGACAACATAGCCACATGCTTGAGGGCCTAAAGAACCTGCACACCAGTGTTATCCCTCAGACATTCGACTGGACCTGGGAAACTGAGCAAGTCCCCTGTTGTCGTTGCATCGGTTTATATTTTTTTGTGGGGTACCATAGAAAACCAGATCTATTCTGCTATTCTGGCTGAGGATTCGCTTCATTCCACAAAGTTGCAATTGCAAGAGCATGTTATAGCCATGAACGCCCCGCAGGGCAGGCGCTCGACAAATCTTAAGGGGTACCTGGGCCCGCAAACATAGGAAATGATCCCAAGATATGTCTGCATTGGCAGTTTGAGGGTCCACGTCCCTAGCTGTTTGAATTGGGAGAACGGAAGTTTGCGGTTCATGTCTTCATATTTCACTGGATGTGTGAGTTTGAACGACCCTAGTCCTGGGTCAAATATCCCTTTGTTGGATCACGATCGTCTGGCAGGATCCCGAGCGCGTCTGGCCAATCTCAGGCTCTGAGTACAGTTGCTAGTGGCCCTTTCCGTGCCCATGGCCCCAAGGAGTTAAGCACTGCTCTACAAGCTTAACTGCCGATGTTCAAGTTGCGCGCCAGAGCCTATACCGCGCAATTCGCAGCAACTGGTCGATTTGGCAACATTAGTACAATATATCGATGCTATGTGTTGATCCGATTGAATGGGGAACACCCGCAATATGGTGGACATAAATCTCCATGTGCATTACGTCCACCAAAGGATCCCCAATATAAATCCATGCCCATCAAATTTCACTTGCATTGACCCACCTACCCACTCACCACCCAGCCACCCACCCACGCACCAAAGCAGCGAAGCTAAAAGCGGCCTAGTCGCCTTTTGTTGTACCACCGTCAACCTCGCGGTGCGCGGTTGGCACAAGACTGACGGATGCGGGATGCTCAGCAAGAGGAGAGACCAAATGGGTGTCGACCAACACAGGAGCCTTCCTTTTGTAGGAGTGTGGCTGGAGGAAAATGAAAACAAACGACCCCATCATGAGTGCGAAAGAGGAAGCACCCTTGGGGGTGGGTCCCAACAACACAAATCCGTTACGGCGCGCCGAGCTTCTAAGTAGGTTTGTCTCAATACAGGGTATCCTCTTTCTTAGTTTGGCTTCAAACCACCCCCATCTCCAACACCTCCAAGTGCGGCCTAGAAACAGCGCCAGTCCCACGAATCTTTGCCACCATCGGAGCTGTCCCGAACTCCGCGAAGCTTTCCGCCGCAAGCGCCATGGCATCGGAACCTGGCCCTTTGCATTGATCTTCACCAGTCGAAGCTGGCAGCACACCCGGCTCTTGCGATTTGGGTTCCGGATCCTGAATCGCCGGACATGCCTCGAGACCCTCCGAACTGTTCTCGGCTACACCAACAGCATCCAAAGAAGAAGCAGCATGTTCTGCTGTGGCGGGTTCTGCAGGCGTGGGTGCAGAACCAAGGGCAGGCTTGGGCTTGGGCGGTGGTTGGGGGCCGCCTGTGCTTGAGGTTGCTTTGGGACTTTCCCCCACAACATCAGCAACCATGGCTGCTGGCAAACCTGATGTCTTGGACAAAATCGCCGGGGTGTGCGCTGCAGTTGCTGTTGCTTCTGCAGGCGTGGGTGCTGCAGGTGGCGGGCCAAGCGGCGGGCCCTGGGGCACACCTGGTGGGCCAACCGGTGGACCAAGGGCAGGTTGCGGCGTGGCCTGTGGTTGGGGGCTACCTGTGCTTGAGGTTGCTCCAGCATCAGCAGCCATGCCTGCTGCTGCCTCACTGGGTGTCTTGCCCAAAACTGTCGTGGCGTGTGCTTCAGTTGAATTGGCTGCTGTAGCCTTCGGTGCTGCAGGTGGCGGGCCAGCAGATGGGCCAAGGGCAGGCTTGGGCATTGGCTGTGGATGGAAGCCACTTGTGCTTGAGGTTGCTTTGGAACTTTCCCCCACAACATCAGCAACCAAACCGGATGTCTTAGACAAAATCGGCGTGGGTGCTGCAGGTGGCGGGCCAAGGGGCGGGCCACTGGGCAAACCAGGCTTCGGACCAAGAGGTTGGCCTCGGGGCGAACCAGGCGGCGGGCCAACGGGCGGACCAAGGGCAGGCTTTGGCGTTGGCTGTGGCGAACCAGGTGGCGGGCCAACAAGTGGACCGCCTCTGCCTAAGGTTGCTTTGGGGCCGTCCCCGACAACACCAGCAGACATTCCTGTTGCTGCCGAGCTCGGTGTCTTGTCCAAAGCTGGATCTGCTGCAGTTGCCGTTGCTGCTGCAGGCTTTGGTGCTGCAGGTGGTGGACCAAGGGGCGGACCACCGGGCAAACCAGGCTTCGGACCACGAGGTTGTGTTCGGGGAGAACCAGGCGGCGGGCCAACAGGTGGACCAAGGACAGGCTTGGGTGTTGGCTGCGGCAAACCAGGTGAGGGGCTAACAAGTGGACCGGCAACACCGGCAGGAATTCCTGCTGCTGAGCTCGGTGTATTGTCCAAAGCTGGATCTGCTGCAGTTGCCGTTGCTGCTGCAGGCTTCGGTGCTGCAGGTGGCGGGCCAAGGGGCGGGCCACCGGGCAAACCAGGCTTCGGACCAAGAGGTTGGCCTCGGGGCGAACCAGGCGGCGGGCCAACGGGCGGACCAAGGGCAGGATTTGGCGTTGGCTGTGGCGAACCAGGTGGCGGGCCAACAGGTGGACCGCCTGTGCCTGAGGTTGCTGTGGGGCTGTCCCCGGCAACACTGGCAGCCATTCCTGCTGCTGAGCTCAGTGTCTTGGCCAAAGCTGGATGTGCTGCAGTTGCCGTTGCTGCTGCAGGCTTCGGTGCTGCAGGTGGCGGGCCAAGGGGCGGGCCACCGGGCAAACCAGGCTTCGGACCAAGAGGTTGTGTTCGGGGCGAACCAGGCGGCGGGCCAACGGGCGGACCAAGGGCAGGTTTTGGCGTTGGCTGTGGCGAACCAGGTGGCGGGCCAACAAGTGGACCGTCTGTGCCTGAGGTTGCTTTGGGGCCGTCCCCGGCAACACTGGCAGCCATTCCTGCTGCTGAGGTGCTCGGTGTCTTGTCCAAAGCTGGATCTGCTGCAGTTGCCGTTGCTGCTGCAGGCTTTGGTGCTGCAGGTGGTGGACCAAGGGGCGGACCACCGGGCAAACCAGGCTTCGGACCACGAGGTTGTGTTCGGGGAGAACCAGGCGGCGGGCCAACAGGTGGACCAAGGACAGGCTTGGGTGTTGGCTGCGGCAAACCAGGTGAGGGGCCAACAAGTGGACCGGCAGCACCGGCAGGCAGTCCTGCTGCTGAGCTCGCTGTATTGCCCAAAGCTGGATCTGCTGCAGTTGCCGTTGCTGCTGCAGGCTTCGGTGCTGCAGGAGGCGGGCCAAGGGGCGGGCCACCGGGCAAACCAGGCTTCGGACCAAGAGGTTGTGTTCGGGGCGAACCAGGCGGCGGGCCAACAGGCGGACCAAGGGCAGGCTTTGGCGTTGGCTGTGGCGAACCAGGTGGCGGGCCAACAGGTGGACTGCCTGTGCCTGAGGTTGCTGTGGGGCTGTCCCCGGCAACACTGGCAGCCATTCCTGCTGCTGAGCTCGGTGTCTTGGCCAAAGCTGGATGGGCTGCAGTTGCCGTTGCTGTTGCAGGCTTCGGTGCTGCGGGTGGCGGGCCAAGGGGCGGGCCACCGGGCAAACCAGGCTTCGGACCAAGAGGTTGGCCTCGGGGCGAACCAGGCGGCGGGCCAAAACCAGGTGGCGGGCCAACAAGTGGACCGCCTGTGCCTAAGGTTGCTTTGGGGCCGTCCCCGACAACACCAGCAGACATTCCTGTTGCTGCCGAGCTCGGTGTCTTGTCCAAAGCTGGATCTGCTGCAGTTGCCGTTGCTGCTGCAGGCTTTGGTGCTGCAGGTGGTGGACCAAGGGGCGGACCACCGGGCAAACCAGGCTTCGGACCACGAGGTTGTGTTCGGGGCGAACCAGGCGGCGGGCCAACAGGTGGACCAAGGACAGGCTTGGGTGTTGGCTGCGGCAAACCAGGTGAGGGGCTAACAAGTGGACCGGCAACACCGGCAGGAATTCCTGCTGCTGAGCTCGGTGTATTGTCCAAAGCTGGATGTGCTGCAGTTGCCGTTGCTGCTGCAGGCTTCGGTGCTGCAGGTGGTGGGCCAAGGGGCGGGCCACCGGGCAAACCAGGCTTTGGACCAAGAGGTTGGCCTCGGGGCGAACCAGGCGGAGGGCCAACAGGCGGAACAAGGGCAGGCTTTGGCGTTGGCTGTGGCGAACCAGGTGGCGGGCCAACAGGTGGACCGCCTGTGCCTGAGGTTGCTGTGGGGCTGTCCCCGGCAACACTGGCAGCCATTCCTGCTGCTGAGCTCAGTGTCTTGGCCAAAGCTGGATGTGCTGCAGTTGCCGTTGCTGCTGCAGGCTTCGGTGCTGCAGGTGGCGGGCCAAGGGGCGGGCCACCGGGCAAACCAGGCTTCGGACCAAGAGGTTGTGTTCGGGGCGAACCAGGCGGCGGGCCAACGGGCGGACCAAGGGCAGGTTTTGGCGTTGGCTGTGGCGAACCAGGTGGCGGGCCAGGTGGACCGCCTGTGCCTGAGGTTGCTGTGGGGCTGTCCCCAGCAACACTGGCAGCCATTCCTGCTGCTGAGCTCGGTGTCTTGGCCAAAGCTGGATGTGCTGCAGTTTCCGTTTTTGCTGCAGGCTTCGGTGCTGCAGGTGGCGGGCCAAGGGGCGGGCCACCGGGCAAACCAGGCTTTGGACCAAGAGGTTGGCCTCGGGGCGAACCAGGCGGAGGGCCAACGGGCGGACCAAGGGCAGGCTTTGGCGTTGGTGGCGAACCAGGTGGCGGGCCAACAGGGGGACCGCCTGTGCCTGAGGTTGCTGTGGGGCCGTCCCCGGCAACACCGGCAGGCATTCGTGCTGCTGAGCTTGGTGTCTTGGCCAAAGCTGGATGTGCTGCAGTTGCCCTTGCTGCTGTAGGTTTCGGTGCTGCAGGTGGCGGGCCAAGGGGCGGGCCAAGGGGCGGGCCACCGGGCGAACCCGGCGGGGCATCTGAGGGTCTGAGCTGTGGCCGAGCAGTTTGAAGGCTTTCGTCATCTTCAGGCGACCTAGTTTGTTCGCACTCAAACTCCTCTGGTTCCAACGACCATTGGGTTGATATCATTTTGGAACGATGGGTTTCATCATCTACATTGGGTCAACCGTCGTTTCAATAAGAGTTAAAGCAAAAAAAAAGTTTCCATGCCCCCCCCCTGTGCAAAAGTCGCATCATGAACTTGGCATAGTGCAAGTCCAAGTGGCCCTGCACCATGAACGGGGTCCTGTCGCAGCGGGGGTTGTTTTGGCTTCATGGCTTCACTGGCAAGGTGGAGAACATGCAAAAAGCCATCATGCACAATGTCGCTTCTCCAAACCCGGTTTCGGGGTTTCCCTTTGCTTTCCCTCAACAAGCCTGAGCGGGCCCCACGGGTTGATGACCAAGACTTCCTGGGATCCACGCCTGCCGCACCCGAGGCTGAGGAGCTTCCAACTCCTCATCCAAAGGCGACACTTCCTGCAGAGTGCGCCCACGTCCCTTCCACGTGAACCATAGACTGGACAGGGCCGAACCTCAAATGTCTACCAGAGCCGCAGAACAGGTTAACATAGAGTTTGTAATTTTGTCAAAACTGGTTGGTCAAAATTGGTTGGTTGGTTGGATTGTCAAAGTTGGTTGGTTGGTTGGTTGGTTCGTTCGTTCGTTGGTTGGTTGGTTGGCTTGCACATATGTAATATATATACAGTTGTTTGTTGATGTTCTGTTGTGTGTGTGTCTCTTTGCTTGCGTGCTTGCTTGCTCGCTCGCTTGCAGATTTGCCTCTTTGATTGTTGTGTTTGTCTCTTTTGTCTACAGTAGGTCAGTGTGTTTGATTGCTTGCTTGCTTGCTTGCTTGCTTGCTTGCTTGCTTGTTTGTTTGTTTGTTTGTTTGTTTGTTTGCTTGCTTGTGTGTTTGGTTGGTTGTTTGTTTGTGTTGTTGATTGTTTTGTTCGCTTGTTTGCTTCTTGCTTGTTTGTGTGTGCGTGTGTGTTTGCTTGTTTGATTGGTTCGTTGGTTGTTCCCCAAACAGTTTACTGTGAGGGGTTCTAAATTCATTTAAGGTGGCTCGCCTGTTGCCAAGCCCTAGCCTGGATGCCTGGCACAGCTCTCTGGGTGGACGGGTTCATTTGTCTCCCTGTGTCTCCCTTCATTTGTCTCCCGTTGTCTCCCCGCCTGGATGCCTGGCACGGCTCTCTGGGTGGACGCGTTCGTTTGTCTCCCTGGGTTCACTTGTCTCCCTTTGTCTCCCTTCATTTGTCTCCCGTTGTCTCCCAGCCTGGATGATCCAGTCTGGGTGGACGGGTTCATTTGTCTCCCTTTGTCATTTGTCTCCCGTTGTCTCCCAGCCTGGATGCCTGGCACGGCTCTCTGGGTGGACGGGTTCATTTGTCTCCCTTTGTCTCCCTTCATTTGTCTCCCAGCCTGGATGCCTGGCGCGGCTCGGGTTCATTTGTCTCCCTTTGTCTCCCTTCATTTGTCTCCCGTTGTCTCCCAGCCTGGATGCCTGGGTGGACAGATTCACTTGTCTCCCTTTGTCTCCCTTCATTTGTCGCCCGTTGTCTCCCAGCCTGGATCTGGCACGGCTCTCTGGGTGGACGGGTTCATGTGTCTCCCTTTGTCCCCTTCATTTGTCTCCCGTTCTCTCCCAGCCTGGATGCCTGGCACGGCTCTCTGGGTGGACGGGTTCATTTGTCTCCCTTTGTCTCCCTTGATTTCTCCCGTTGTCTCCCAGCCTGGATGCCTGGCACGGCTCTCTGGGTGGACGGGTTCATTTGTCTCCCTTTGTCTCCCTTCATTTGTCTCCCGTTGTCTCCCAGCCTGGATGCCTGGCGCGGCTCTCTGGGTGGACGGGTTCATTTGTCTACCTTTCTCTCCCACAATCTCTGGCACCCCTTTGTTTCCCTTCATTTGTCTCCCGTTGTCTCCCAGCCTGGATGCCTGGCACTGTTTTTTTGGTGGACAGATTCACTTTTCTCCCTTTGTCTCCCTTCATTTGGCTCCTGTTGTCTCCCAGCCTGGATGTCTGTCACGGCTCTCCAGGCGGACGGATTCACTTGTCTCCCTTGGTTCCCCTTCATTTGTCTCCCATCTCTGTGGGTGGACGGATTCATTTGTTTCCCTTTGTCTCCCTTTATTTGTCTCCCGTTGTCTCCCAGCCTGGATGCCTGGCACGGCTCTCTGGGTGGACGGATTCATTTGTCTCCCGTTGTCTCCCAGCCTGGATGTGTGGCACTCACGCTCCGCGGTTTCCTTCACTTCCCGCGGTTCTGTCCTTTTGGCGGGGTCTGGTTTGCCTTCGGCTTTGGCCCTGGCTTCGGTCATTCCTTGTCTTGTGGATGTTGGGGACAGGGTCCTCCTCTGTCTGCCCTTCATCTGGACTTCGATTTCGCTTGGGCTCGTGGTGGGTCGTCTTCCTTGTCTATCGTTGGCTACACCCTGTCTGTTCGTTCAGTGCCTCGTTATCAGTTGCGGTCCCGAGCTGACGATAGCGGTGCGCTGCGGTGCACGGCTTCAGCTACGAGAAGGCTCTGTTAACCCCCCGGCGAAACCGAGGGTGTCTTATGTAAGGGGGGGGGGGGGACCCTGGCAGTTACATTTCCAAGGGGCCCAGGGAGGGGTTTGGCAACACCACGCCGGAAAAGCAATGGAACTCCATTGCTTGTGTCCGCTTGTATCGCAAACAATCCTGGTTCTTCAGCATCTCTAGGGAACTGAATTTTTGAGCGGTTCGAAGCCTCCTTTCCAAGATTTTTTCTCGGGTTCCCGGCAAGCCTTGCAAGGTTGGGCTTTGCCAAGGACCCAAATTTATGATTTCAAGCTGCGTCTTAAAATAGGGCGACCAATTTTTGGGTGGATTGACCGACGCACCCTCGTCGTCGCGTTCACCTTGTCCTGCAGATCCTGCTCCGCCCTCTTCGCGCCATTTTCACTTTATTTTTGCATAAAGATTCAATTGCGCAAAGGCATTGCTACTCCCCGCTGCTCCGTGGCTGAGCATATGTGCCTGTTCACGTTTCAGTTCATTCATTCAATTCTTTTGAACAGGACTGAGCTCAAATACGAGATACGAACCGGAATAAGGCAAGAACTTGCAATCCAGGTAAGAACCGGAATCCGGGACAAGAACCGGAATCCTCGGTAGGAACTGGAATCCGTGGTAGGAACCGGAGTCCGGGAAAAACCGGAATCCGAATTCGGGGTAACCGGAACCCGGGGTAGGAACCTGAATGAGGGGTAGGAACCGGAATCCGGGGTAGGACGGCGGAAGCCGGGGCGTAGGAACCGAACCAAATCCCGGGAAGGAACTGGAATTTGGGTGCGCATTCCGTGGTAAGAAGGCACTGGAATACTCCAGGCTAGGAACCAGTATAGAAACCGCAATCCGGGGTAAGAACCGGAATCCGGGTAGGAACCTGAATCCGGGATCCGGGCAAGTAGGCACCGGAATCCGGGGTAATAGCCGGAATCCGGGGTAGGAACTGGTTGGAGCCGGTAGGAACCGGAGTCCGGGATAAGAAACGGAATCCGGGGTAGAGCCGGAATCCCGTCCATGGCAAGTAGGCACCGGAATCCGGGTAACAGACAGAAGGTAGGAACCAGTTCGAGCCGGTGGGTAGGAGCCGGAGTCCGGGGTAGGCACCGGAATCCGGGGTAGGCACCGGAATCCGGGGTAGGAACCGGAATCCGAAATAGAACCGAAATGTGGGGGTGAGCAGCGGATCCGGATCCGGGGTAGGCACCGGAATCCGGGGTAGGACCGGAATGCGGGGCAATCCGGGGTAGGAACCGGAATCCGAGGTAGGAACCGGAATCCGGGGTAGGCGCCGGAATGCGGGGTAGGAACCGGGAGCCGGAATCCGGGGTATAGGGACCGGAGTCCGGGGTAGGCACCGGAATCCGGGGTAGGCACCGGAATCCGGGGTAGGAGCCGGAATCCGGGGTAGGAACCGGGAGCCGGAATCCGGGGTATAGGGACCGGAGTCCGGGGTAGGCACCGGAATCCGGGGTAGGCACCGGAATCCGGGGTAGGAACCGGAATCCGAAATAGAACCGAAATCCGGGGTGAGCAGCGGATCCGGATCCGGGGCAGGAGCCGGAAGCCGGGGTAGGAACCGGAATCCGGGGTAGGAGCCACAATCCGGGGTAGGCACCGGAATCCGGGGTAGGAACCGGAATCCGGGTAGGAACAGGAATCCGGGTAGGAATCGGAGTCCGGGTAGGAACCGGA